TCCAACCCTCACATTACGTTTGGCAGATACAGCAGAATACATGTAAAAATCACTCTGTGGAACCTCCTAAAAGATGCAAAAGGGTGACTTTTCATTGAAGACCGAAAGAAAGGAAGACACACGGCTCAAAGGGGCTGACTAGGGGGTATGACACACCACGACAGTCAATTTGGTCGTGGGCTAATCCTATGCCTCCATCATCTTAGCTAATGACAACGTGAATGCTGCATATCATGGAAGAGGGAATTATCGCACAAGAAAGAAACGAGCAGGCTCAAGTCTCACATGGCTACCTATATGCTCTATCTCTCGTTCTGATTCCCTGAACTAGATGCATAAATGACTGTCAAAAGCAAGTGATCAAACCAAGTCACATTTGGTAAGCAAACAGTTGAAAAACTGAACCCCTACACAATTCTACTGCTCATCTCAGTCATCATAATAAGTTGTCTTAGTCACACTCAAGTTGTCATGCATCAAGTCAAAAGCCATTCAATTCACTAATCACATCCACAGTGCCAATACGATCAAACATCAGGCCAACAGCAGTGCTTGGAGCCCTCAAATCTTGAGATTTGGACAGTGGACTAGGCTCCAAGCACACAAACAGATCTAACGCAGTCAAAAGAGAAACATCCCCCCCACACTTAAGATCGACATTGCCCTCAGTGGAGAAGATGGAAGGATAAGGGGAACGATGTTACCGGTGTTCACAGACTGCATGAGACTAGAAGCGGACCCGCCGAGTGAAGCGGACTGGGGAGGGACCAGTCTGGAACAAAGCACAGCTGAAGGGGGACAGAAGAGCTAAAACACAACATGTTAGGTCCAATGGTCATCCCAATAATACATCATCCAAAATAAAAGAAAACAAACCGAAACCCAACCGGTTTACAATCCGACTCAAAACAAAAGAAAGAGATTAACACCATGGTGGGGTTGCCTCCCCACTAGCGCTTCTTTACCGTCTTTTAGTTGGACGCCTATGGTGGATACTCAGGGAGGTGCAGGAACAGGTGCCTCCAAGAGCGGATCCACGTCACTCTTGAGGTACAACTTCAGGTTGTGGCCATGCACCCGATGGATGCGACCACCATCATCGGTCAGCTCGACCTGGCCATCCGGCAAGATGCAGGCGAGTAAGTACCCGGACGGCCAGGGTGGTCGTGGTGCAAGAGGTGGGACCAGCTCATAGTGGTCTCCACCTTTCTTCCGAACAGGCTTAGCCACGTGCGGCTTCGGCCGCCACTCCTCCTTGAGCTTTTTGTTCGGAGGCGAGGCTGGATGGAGTGGCGGCGAAGGAATGATAGGAGGGTCCTGCAAAATGAGAGGTGCAGAAGGATACACGACAGGCTCGTGTACCTGATCAGAAATGGCATGCACAGGTGTGACAGCAATCATAGCACAGTGATCGAATTCAGTCACAGAAAAAGTAGCTTGTTCATTCCCAGCACGCATGATCAGTTTACCATCATGCACATCAATAAGTGTCTTGGCGGTGGCAAGAAATGGTCTACCCAGAATCAAAGGCACATCCACATCCTCATGTATATCAAGAATAACAAAATCAACAGGATATGTGAATGCACCTACATTAACAAGCAGATCCTCTATAATCCCCCTAGGATGCACAATGGAACGATCAGCTAGCTGAATGCTCATCCTAGTAGGGCTAAGTTCACCTAGGTCTAGCTTTTTATACAACTTATATGGCATGACATTTATGCTAGCGCCTAGGTCCGCCAAGGACTTGCCTACATGCATGCTGCCAATAGTAAAAGGGATAGTAAAACTCCCTGGGTCCTGGCGCTTTTCTGGCAGCTTGTTCTGCAGGATAGCAGAACACTCCTCGCTCAGCAACACTGTCGAGAGATCCCCAAGTTTCTTCTTGTTGGTGAGGAGATCTTTCATGAAATTCGCGTACTTGGGCATCTTCGACAGTGCCTCCACAAACGGTATGCTGATGTTGAGCTGCTTCAACATTGCCATAAAATTGGCAAACTCAGTCTCCAACTTGTCTTTGTGTAGGCGAGTGGGGAAGGGAAGCTGGGGTACATGCTCCTTAACCACTGGTTGTGGCTTGGGAGCAGGGGCTTCCTTCTCCACCCGCACTTCTGCATCGTCGACTGGAAGTGCTGAAGCAGGTAGTGGTTCCTCCTGCCTGGCCGGGACAGGATCAGCAGATATGGTCTTACCGCTCCTGGTATAAATGGCATCCAGCTGCTGGTGCGGCTCCCGTGGATTGGGGATGGTAGTGGCAGGGAGAGTTCCCGGTGCCCTGGTAGTGTTTTGGCGGGCCAAGATGCCCACCTGGTTCTGCAGAACTTGCAAAATGGCACCTTGGTTCCTCTGACCTGCCTCCAGTGAGGCTATGCTTTGGTCCAACCTCGTGACAGTTGCCTGAGTGCTAGTCATGAATGAAGCTAGAATTTTTCCAGCTTCGTCATCTGATTATCTGGAGCCGGAGCTGCTGCTGGCTCGGCATACTAACGCTGGGGCTACTGGAATGGTTGCCCCTGCCTAGGCTGGTAGGGCTGCTGCTGTGGGGCTAGCCCCTGTCTAGCCTGGAAAGGCTGCCTCTGCTGAAACCCACCAGCTGGTGCTGGGAAACCAGGTGGTTTAGTGGTGTTGCTGCTCCAGGCGAAATTGGGATGCTGGCGCCACCCCTCATTATATGTGTTGCTGTACGGGTCGAGGCGCCGAGCATTGGCGATGAAGTCCAACTGTTCTTGGGGAGTAGTAGACTCCCTCATAGCCTGGCAGTCTTCCACTAAGTGATTTGACCTCTCACACCACTGACATTGAGCTACTGGAGGTGTAGCCAAACCTCTGCCCGGAATAAGACTATTGGGCTGCTTCAATGTCTGCACCAACTCAGCTACCTGTTGCTCGAGCCCGGATCTGGTCTCCATGGCATGCACACCACGGTCCTGGGAATGTCTGCCTCTGCTGCTCTGCCCCCAAGAATGATCTCTGGCAGCCAAGGTATTGATCATCTGGTTCAGCTTGGGTGGAGTCTTAGTAAGAATATCCCCTCCTGGGCATAGAGACTCAATCACCCTCTGACTTTCCGGAGAGAGAGCACTGTAGAAGTTTCCCACGGTGAATGCATCACTGAAGCCATGATAGGGACACTGCCAGAAATATCCCATGTACCGCTCCCAAGCATCACGAAGTGACTCATCTGGCTCTTGGCGGAAGTGAGTGATCTCACGCTGGATCTCTGTAGTCTTCGATGTCGGATAGTACCTGTGCACGAATTTGTCAGCCAGATCGTCCCAAGAGGTGATGGACAATGGGGGCTGGGTCTCCAACCACCTCTTAGCATTCCCCGCAAGAGAATGGGAGAAAAGGTGAAGGCGGATTGCATCATCGGGGACACCATTCAGTTTGAACCCGTTCGTCAGCTGCAGAAAACGGGAAAGATGTACCCTGGCCTCCTCATCCTTCAAGCCATGGAACTGGATAGAGGATGTAGTGAGCCGAATCCAGCATGGCTTGATCTCGAAGTTGTTTGCTGGAATAGGCGGGTAAAGGATGACCGGGCGGATGTCATCAATCCGTGGAGTGTAGTAGTACTCCAATGTGGGGCCCGGCGGCGGGTGATGATGATGAACCCCATCTGCCTGGGGTATGGGGTTGTTCCCCAGGACCTGATTCACCGGGGGAGCCTGCTGAGGATTCCCCTGGTGTGGATTGTATTCTTCGTCCATCCCGTATTCTTCCTCAGAATCGGTACTCAGGTGGCCGTCTATGCGCTCTTCCGTAGCTAGTCTAGCTCGCTGTTGTCTCCTAAGTTGGCGACAGGTGCGGTCAATCTCTGGATTCAACGGCAGTAAACCTCCCGACTGGCTACGGGTCATGCACTACCTGCACACACTCAAGCAAGCAAACCCGTGAAGGCACAAGTGGGACAAAGCAAACAATGCGAAAAGAAAAGCTAAATTAACAGAAATCACTTTTCTTCAACAACCTAGCCGTCCCCGGCAATGGCGCCAAAAACTTGACTCGCTACGACACAACACCTAACAATGGCCAAATGTAACCAATGGAAGGGACTGCAGTATAGTGGCTCAAGTGATAAATATCGAATCCACAGGTCTCTAGAGTTACTATTACTCAGCTTCAGTTTATTATTTAGCAAACCAGATTAAGATGAAAGAACTAAAACTACTCTAGCAAACTACAGTTAAAGTTAATCTAATTACAGGTTGGGAACTCACTTAGGTATGATTCCCCCTAGCCACTAGCCAGACTAACGATTGATGATTTCTAACTTGTTTAACTTTCATTCACAATGCGGAGAATCCTTGACTAGACCTTGAGTCTCGACTAAAGGAACAAGGCCCTCTTGAGTCAATTGCCTAGAGGGACGTATCCTTCTCTAGAACAACTGATCAAGGCGTTCTGAACTAGACTCCCTCTATCGAAAGAGGTTCTCAATCGATACAAAGCAGTGAATCAACCCTCGACTAAAGCAATCGATCCACTACTATCAATCTATGGTGCTCTATTGACCCAATCAGGTATTCCCTCTCATAGGATCAAAGCAGAATCAATAATCTCGACTAAAGCAGAATTGAATCATGAAAACATGCATAGATTGAATATGAACTTAAGATTATCAAGTCAGAGTACTCATACAATCATCCAATCAAACAAACATAGCAAGGGTTCCTCAAAACCTAAGTGAAGGGAAGTTACTCCATAGAGAAGAGAGAGACGGCAGTAAGAATCTTCAGATGATCAGTCTTCAAGTCCGGGCTTGTTCCTCGAGCTTCCAAGGCAAAGAAATCCTCCAATTCCACTCTTAGAATGCCCTCAAATCGCCCTTTCTCTCTTTGGTTCGTCCCTTGGGTGTTTGGGATCCAAAACCCAGCTCTCCCTCTCCTTTGGCTCGAAATTGGCTTAAAAACCCGATTCTGGGCAAAACACTGTCGAGGACACGGCCGTGTTTTGCTTTTGCCCGCCCGTGTTTTGCCCCGTGTTAAAAACACGCCCGCGCGCGTCAGCCAAAACACGGTCGTGCCTAAATATGGGCATGGCCGTGTTTTGATTTAGGCGCGCCCGTGTTTTTACTGCCGAACCTGTTCCCCTATATTCAATGCTTCGTTTCTCCCTCGTCCGGACTCCGAATCCGTCGCCGTTTGATCCCAGACGCTCGTAGTCTCGTCCTATTTATTTTAATGACAAGCTTACATGATTCTTTGTCCATAAAGTGAGGTAGAAATCCATTCTTATTCAGGTCATGCCCGAGTTTCTTCTCCCTAATCGCCAATTGATCTCTGATTGACTTGAAACTTGCGCCTATGCTTCACTTTATGTGCTAGGACCTGAAATGTGACAAAGGAACACAACCTAGCGTAAAATAGGCCAAAGACTCAATAATTAAAGCTCAAACAATCAAGAAACAAAGGGGAAAACATGTGCAAATATCGAGTCATCAACTGCAGTCCCTTCCATTGGTTACACTTGGCCATTGTTAGGAGTTGTGTCATAGCGAGTCAAGTTTTTGGCTCCATTGCTGGGGAGTTTCTAGAATATTAGGAAAGGCAGAAGTTTGTTAATTTAGCGTTTTTCTTTTCTTTTCCACCCTTGCTTTTCACTTGGGTGTTTTTGTTTTTGTTGGTGCAGATCTGAATCATGGATCCTCATGGCTTCTCCAACAATTGGGGGTATCCACCACCACCCGAGTGGTATTACCCCGAGACTCCCTGGAGCAATCAATGAGGAGAAGACTATGGATTCGAGTTCCAGTACCAACCCCCTTACTACGGAGAACAACCGGACCCCTAGGCATATCAAGAACAACCTCATTACCAAGAAGAATTTCTCCCACAACCAGAAGGGCCATCGGCGCTGGAGTTACCCATGGCGGCCTTCACGGGCCATTCTGCAGAGCCATGCTACACTCCACAGCCAGATCCAAACTATGAATTGAGGCTTCTCATGGAACAGTTTGCTCGAGACAGTGAGAGAACATGCTCCAGGATGGATCATTGTGTCCAGGCCTATCGTGAAACAGAGGAGATCCTCCTGAGCCTTAAGAAGAGCGTCGATGATCTTGAGCGATCTTGTGCACAACCTGCTCCCGATCACCCTTCTGCTACCATACTAGAAGAGGAGGAGGAGGAGGAAGAAGAAGGCTACAAGGACATTGTGGAGCACACTAAAGTTGTCACGGAGAGCTCCCGTGATGATCATGATGAGGAATGTCCTGTCATAGCCGACCACACCTTCCCACATCCCAAACTGAGCTTTGAAGAGGCGGGCATGATTGAGGAGATGCAAGAAGATCTCATGAAAGAAATTGCTTGGCAGCTTGCTCTCCAATCCGTGCTAGAAGAAGAAGAGCAAGAAAGGGTGAAGAAAGAAGTTGTGGAGGATGACGAAAGTGAAGCAGAAGGAGTTATTGATCATTTCCCAGGGGTGATACCACATGAAGAAGAAAGGGAGGTTGAAGAAGCAATTGGCGTCCAGGCTGAGGACGGAGTTAAGGTGGAAGAGGCATGCACCGGCTATGAGTTACTTGTGATATCTCCACCGAATTTCGAGGAGCTGCTTGGCAAGGACCCATTTGCAGTGTCTCTTTGCCAGACCAAGGCCACATCGACATCGGTCCCTCTTGGTGGACGCGATGGTGGCCAATCGATGTTGTCATATCTAGTTTGGGGCAATGAGACGGGAGAAGAGAAGAAGAGGTCTTGAGGGTGGAGACTTCATCCGCATCAAGTGCACGAGCTTCCATCACCTGTCATACCACATGCTCGTGACTTGAGACTCCACCTCATTGACGAGAACCTCAACTTCAAGGAGGTTTTGGGGTGGACCGAAACTTAGGAGCCATCGTCCGGCTCACGACGTGAAAGAAGCGCTTGTTGGGAGGCAACCCAACCAGTCGGTTTGCATTTCTTTCTCTATTTCACCTTGGTTAAGTCAGTTTTGTTCTTTGATTTTAGAGTCAATAACTCAATCTTTGTGAGATTTTTTGGTGTTTGTGTTCCGACTACTCTCTCCTCCTGGAATACACCGCCTGCCTCGTCCACCATCATTCACCCTTGATCTGGTAACTTCGTTCTACCCTCCTTATCTTTCCTCCATTGAGGACAATGTCGTGCTTAAGTGTGGGGGATATTTGATTATGTATGCGGGTGAATGTTTGGCTGTTTGTGTGCTTGGAGCCTAGTCCATTGTCCAAATTTTTAAATTTGAGGGCTCCAAATACGTGTTTCCTTGTAAATTGCCTGCTCAGTATGCTTTGAATTGACAGTCTCTATAGTAATGTGCAACCTAGGGAGGTAGTGTAGCACTATGGAGGATGTTGAAGTATAAGATTTTTCCTATCTAGCTCTCTGTTGTGCCAGTTGATTTTATGAATTAGTGGAGCTAGGACAATTGAATTCATGTGGTAATGGTGAATCTATGTGGATTGTGTTATGGACTCGTGTATCGAACATGGTGCTCATGTGAAAAATGAAATGCAGTTGGTCCTCCATGTCAAAATCATCAAAATCTTAAACATGGGGTAAGCCCAACGTGTGCGGCACCGTTCATTGCACCAAATCAGGTTTTGGAAGAGATTTTAGTGATCCTTAGTAGGGTACTCCTACAAGGTGAAGCTAACGGGTCGTTTGCGTCAAGGTTTTTGTGATGCATTTGGGCATGGAAACCCATCCATCATGGATTTGCACTAAAAACCATTGTTTGCATTAGGGATTTAGTAAATTGAAATCTGTGGGGCCCACGGACTTTGGAGGTCCAAATCCGTGGGGCCCATGGATTTGGAGGTTCTAGCTATTGAGGTGGGTTTTTATCATGGATTGAAGTCCATGATGTGTAAATACACCTTTGTCCCTGCCATATTTTGTTATTGCCAGCAGTGCCCTTCTGTTTATCCTTTCCGAAATTTTGGCAGATAAAAGAGTGAAGCTTCTGTTTGCGAGCTGCGAGGGAAAATTACGAGGGAAAAAACGAAGGGAAGGAAGTCGACTCTAACAGAGAAACTTCTCCTCCGTCGCTATCTCCGATCTTCTTCTCTGTCGTAATCTTCGATCTTATCCTCCGTCGCTGCAATCGGGTATGCTTTCTGTCGTTGCTTCTCATCTGTGTCTTTCTTCCCGACGAACCCTAGATCAAAGCTTGGCCGATCTTTTGTGATGTTGTTGGTGTATTGAAGTTTTAATATTCCATCTCTCTATCTCTATCCTCCTTGAACTCCACAACCAATAGTGTAGAGTGTAGACCCCCAAAACCTTACCATAGACCGACCATTCCTCCTTCCTGCAGTTGCTGTCCGCCATTTCCATTTTCCCCACCGCCCTCCACATCACTTCACGTAATTGTGCCAGAGTGAGAGCTGAATTCCGCTTACAGCCATGGAAACCCACTTCCGCCCTCCCTCTTTGGTTACTGGGTAGCTCTCTGTTCCTCTCGATCTGAAGTCCAAATGGAGCAAGTCCCCTTCTTTTTCTTTTGCCTCTCTGAGCCTATATAGTACCTACTGTTTGCTTATATGCCCCAGAGAAAGAAAGGCGAGGAAAAAAGGAGAAGAATTGGGAATCTTCATTCTGTAACCACATGTTACTTCTTCAGTTTGAGTTGACCATTGCCGGAGTATTTATTTTTACCGGTTATCTTCATTCTGCAACCACATGTTCGGACACAACAGTACAACACGTCCCTCTCATAGATACTCCAAAGCTTGGAGTCCGATTTTTTAAGCAATCATGGTTTTCAGCATTCTGCAGAGTCAAGCTTTTCTCTAAGCTACTTCAATAATAAGAATATAAGGCCTCCATCTGTATTGTTTGAAGCTGAACCAAACAAAGAAAGCTCCTTTCTGTCTGAGTTTGTAAAGATCAGTAACTTATTGATAGATGCTTCTTGTATGTGAAATTACTTTCTTGTTTGAACTGGAATTTGAAAGCTAACTGTGTGTTATGGTTTGTGGCATAAATGTTGTGGCTCCATTGAGAGTTCTTGATGGATTGCTATGGAAAGTTTCCTGATTGTATGCTGTAATGCTTCTTTTGATGTTAAGGCTATGGCTCGATTGAGAAGAAAATCTAATAAAGTGCAGAAGCGGAACACCGTGAAGGCTATTAAGATTGTTTTAACCTTGTTACTTGTCTATGTATCTTTGCTGATTAGATTTCTTGAGCTATTAGTGATGAAAAAGATAAAATCCAGACCTCGGAACACCCCCTTAGATAGCATATTTGACCGTCAACATGATAGAATGAGATATATGAGACGAGTACTTGATCTATCTGATACTCGTTGCATTGATAGTATTAGGATGAGTCGTAGTATGTTCAAGAGGTTGTGTCAGCTACTCATCCGTGAAGGGGGGTTAGAACGTTCAGATGATGTCAATATAGAGGAGATGGTCATGATGTTTTTAGTTACCATCGGGCACAACAAGAAGAACAGAATGCTAAAAGTTGAATTTTGTCGCTCAGGACAAACTATCTCCAAAGTTATTCATAGAGTCCTACGTGCTATACTTCGGTTGCATCCTATTTTTACTCCGCCGACCATCAGCTATACCAGAAAATTGTACTGATCCTAAGTGGAAACACTTCAAGGTCTGTTAATTATTTGAATTTTCTTTAACTTGCAAGGTTAGCTGCAATTACTATCCTAAAACAGCTAGTTTTTCTGTGGTAAAGGGTTGCTTAGGGGCACTAGACGGGACACATGTGAGGCTGTGTGTTAGGACAGAAGATAAACCTAGGTATCGAGATCGGGAAGGGCATATTACAATGAATGTTTTGGGAGTGTGCAACCCCAACCTCGAGTTTATATACTGCTTAGCTGGATGGGAGGGTTCAGCCCATGACGGAAAGGTTCTTAGAGATGCATTAGCTAGGACAAATGGACTACGCGTTGAGAAAGGTAATGTAGCCTTTTAGAAGGAACTAGACATTCTGAAAATATACCTTACTTCCACTGATTAGTTCTTACATGTTTATCTTTCAATTTAATAGGAAAATACTACTTAGTAGATGCCGGGTATAGCAACTCTAAAGGGTTTTTAGCTCCATATAGAGGTCAAAGGTATCATTTGAAAGAGTGGGGAGGAGGTAATAAACCATTAACAGCTGAGGAGTACTTCAATATGAAGCATGCCACAGCAAGAAACGTTGTTGAGAGGATTTTTGGTATTTTGAAAATGAGATGGGCCATTATTAGAGAAACCAGCTGGTTCTCCCCTGAGGTTGTTACACTATTAGTGAATGCATGTTGCTTGCTGCATAATTTCATCAAGCTGGAGCAGGGAGTTGACACTTTTGAGAGAGATTATAGGGACCAAGAACCTGAGCAGCATCCTTCATCTGTTGTGGAAGAAATTGATCTAGTCTCTGGAGTATGTCCTTCACAAAGTTGGACTCATTATAGGGATGCAAAAGCAGTAGACATGTGGGAGAATAGAAGTGGCAGATGATGTATTTTATGTTATTAGTGGTTGTATGTTATGTTCCATGTACTTGCATTTTCTATTTTTACTGTTGCTGCATGTATCATTGGTTGTAACAGTATGTTGTAGGATCTAAATTGTAAAGACATATTTGAATCCTAAATATAATTCTACTTGTTGCTGATATAGAGTGGTTGTGGTGTGGTGTGCATTTATGTTCTTTTGCTGCTGTCATTATAGAGTGGTTGTGCTTTGCCACTTGGCAATGAATTCTACTGTCAAAGATGAATGTTGTTGTCATTGAATGAATGGTACTGTAGGTTTTCTTTAAAGAATGCATTTATGTTTGTTTTATTGTAGGATGGCAAAGAAGAGAAAGCAGGTGATACAAGTTGAAGGAGAAGTTCAGCCTACAGGCCCCTACTTCTCGTGGGATGAGAAGCTTAATGCATTGCTCATACAATGCATGGTGGAGTTAGTACAAAGACATCAAGTTGAAAACGGTTCCTTTAAGAATGGGACCTTTTCTAAGCTCCAAACCATGATGGAGGAGAGGGCTCCAGGTTGTGGTGTGCAGATTGAACCGCATATCCGTAGCAGACACAAGAAATTGAAGAAGGACTTTCATGTTGTACACTTGCTGAAAAATCAGAGTGGTTGTGGGTGGGATGTTGCAACCTCTACTCCAACACTAGATGATGACGTTTTTGCAAGTGTAGTTAAGGTAATCTATTACATATATGTATCACGTGGTCTTTGTATATTTATTTTATTGTTAGTCATTCTCATCTGAACACAAGTGCTTCATTGTAGGTTTTCCCAAACTGCAAAAATATGAACAGGAAGCCTTTCCCATTCTATAATGACCTATTCAAAGTGTTTGGGAAGGTTGGACCTGCCAATGGAAAGAAGACTTTTGGTCTGACTGATGATGTTGACTCCCCAGTGGTTGATGTAACTGCATTTGTTGACTTGGATGGGCTTCAGACGCCGAGTGTAGAGAGGTTTATGGAGGATTTGATAAATGAAGGGATTGAGAGTCAGAGGGTCACTCCTCCATCTCCTGCAGTTGTGCCTCCGCATCTAGCTGCTGTTCATCCAGGAGAAGGGAGCAACAAGAGGGCTAAGAAGATAGAGAGTAAGACCGATGATGCTATTGCTGCTGTAGCTCAAGAATTGTGTGGATTGAAGCCTGTCATATCCAAGGCACTTGATGCTCTAGGCACCATTATAGAAGACCGTGAGGAAGACACTGGAAAGGAAGCTACATTGATGGCTGAGATTGGGAAAATAGAAGGCCTTGGACGCTGCCAAGTTCTAGATGCTGCTATGGCATTAGTTGAGAATGATCGCAAGACAAGACTTTTCTTCTCTCTTGATAATGAGGAGGATCGAAAGTACTTCATTCACAACTTACTGCGTTGAGAAGTGCTGAATCATGGGAGCTATTAGCTATAGTATGTTGTGTCGTATATATGTATGCAGTGTTGTACATTTTGAACTGAACACATATAGTATGGATAGGAAACTCGACCTCTTATGCAGAGCTGACTCAGAAGAGCTAGCATGCAACTGTTAAAGTAGGAGGTCGATTATTTTGGAAAGTTTCCAAGCCATTCCAATATGTGTCGAAGAATTGGCTATGTATTCAGTTTAAGTTGTATATTTCTGACTTATTAATATATGCAGGTTATTTATGTATATATGCTGCAATCTTATAATTTTCATTTCCATTACTAAAGACTATGGCTTGATCTGTGATATGTAGAAAGCCGTCTTTTTATACTGAATGATCACAAACTCTACTATCCATGTCTGCAATTTTGTGGGTTGATCAGAAAGCAGTATCAAAGCTACCTAAAGAACTATCTGCAGAAACCAAATTCAAGTATCAAAGCACTTCATTTCATTAATCCTTAAATATTCCATTACACAACTCTGCTTCTCATTAACAACACTCTAACCAGTACACATGAAAAGAAACTTACACCAATAAACAAATCCGTGGGATCACTCTAACATAGCACAAAATTGCAGCACTAAGCAGTCCTGGATTCTAATTTGAAACACCCATAATCATTTGAGCTTTGAACTCCCAGCCTCCAACTGGTCCAACCTGAGCTTAATTGACTTAATGGCAACAACTATCTCTTCGTAGGATGATATCACATTCTTGCTTTCAATTCCAACATCAACACTATGCTTGGACACTCTGTCTAATGCAGCACGAAGATCTGCATTCTCCAGCTGCAAATTCAAAACCATTTCACCAAGTCTTTTCCTCTCCTTGTATAATGCAGCTCTAATGTCGTGCCATTCAAAATAATCACAAGGCTCCTTCTTCTGTGTCCACAAAACATGCTACGAGTCACTAGCTCAAACAAGACAAACTAATTCACCTAACAAGCAAAGCTTCGAACACAATTACCAAAACTCAAACCTTAGAGCCGAACAATGGACAACCGAAAAATTTTCGATTCGGGTTGCCAACAGTATGTGAAATTCTTCGAGAAGCTCTCAGCCCGCAGTGGCATAATACCTCTTCATCCTCGCAGCAGCACCATTAAGAACACGAAGTCCTTGAAAGTAACCACTTTTCGGAAGGAGATGTGTTAACTGCTGCAAACAAATCAGATATATTCGAATAGCCTCTGTGGCAATGAGTGAAAATGACATCTACAAGCATTCGCATTATCATAACACCTGAACAGAGAAGCTGAACAGAATAGCCCCACCAACTACATTGGTCAGCACAAATGTCTCCCAAATTTCTACCATTATCGAGATCCATAATGCGTATTTCAGAAGAAAAATGTCTAATGCTTAAGGAACTTACAGCTAAGAGGCGAGCTTCCTGAAGGAAGTACTCTGGTCTATCAGGATCCATCATCCGCATAACAATTCGCTTGAAGAATAACGGTGATTCCCGCACTTTCTGTTCATAACAATGCCAGTTAGTTCTCTCCCAGAACAAGAAATATACAACAAGGAACACTTCAATAAACTTCCAGTTAATCTGAGATAAACAGAATCAACTGAAAACTTGATAGGGGCTCCAGTTCTACCTGAATGAGGCCATGTGCTCCTCCAACATACAGGAGATTGTACCTCTCAACATCCTGCAAAACCTCTTTAACTCCCTGCTCTGGTTGATTGAGTAACGATGCCTCTGGTGTCAACTTAGTGATGTTGGACGAGCACATTGGGCATTTGCATGGTCTTGCTGCTGCTGAGTAGTTCCAGAACTGGAGAATGCACCCTCCTGAAAAGAAAGACAGCCCCGTGTAACATATAAAACCTTAATGCCCATGATAGTAGCTGCATTAGGAACAATCAACATATCAACATGGATCTGACATTCCCGCAATCTCACTTAACTATGAAAACTCTGCAACTAAATACATCCCCATTCACCAAATAGAAGGCAATTAGTGAGTTAAAACAACAGAACTCAAAGCTCCCAGCAAGTTAAAGAAGAAGAGCTTTTTAACATTCAGCTCCATTTTTCGTTCAGAGCACAGCTTTTAACAAGCACTTCCGAAAGACCCAAGAAAGCGTAATGCTACTTTCTTTAGACCTTTCAGTCTTTAGTTTCATCTCAAGTGATCGAGGAAGCCATGGAAATGAAAGATAGAAGTTCCAATGGACACAAGAAGCACCTCAAATTCAAGAGAACCCCGAAATTCCACGCATCACTTCCACGATCTAGTATCGGAAATGAACCGCAGAAAGAGAAAAAGATAGCAGAATTAAAGAAAAGCAAAGAGGGAAACGGACCGCAATACCAATGGCCGCAGTTCGCTTTACAGGCGACGGAGAAGTCGCCGAAGCAGATCGGCCAGCAATCGTCGACGGGAGGGCCAGCGGCGGAAGCAGCAGTGCGACCACCACCACCATCGCTAGGGTTCCTCACGAACTCGTCTGCTTTCGTCTCTCTTCCTCCACCTCCCGCCTCAACCGCAATCCTCGTACCGCCACCGCCTCCCTCGCCGCCCGAAACGGCAACATTGCCATGAAGAAGAGCAGTATCGGCCTGATCCTGGGCGGAGCCCGTCGCCATTTCCATGAAGCAGCAGCAAATCCGACTCCCGAATTTCTGCAGCTACTCCTTCCTCACATTTATTCCACCTCGCTCGCTCGCTCTGTCCGATTGTTTTCTTCTTTCTCGGTTTGAGAATGGAATTTATGACCAAAAGTGTCGAGTTGGGTGGCGGTTCATTCAAGGGGTCCAAGATAGGGTCAGTAACCACACGGGAGCCGTAGGATTGAGAATGGAGCAATCGTGTGGTTGGGCTGGATGTGGGGTAGGGAAGGGCATTTTTGTCCGTTTTTGTATTTTTAATTTTTATTATTCATTCCGCATTTCAATGACTGACTTTTCAATGAAAAAGAGACAATGCATTTTCTCTGCAACTCAACTTTCTTCCTTCTCTCTTCTTTTCTTTCAATCTCTTTCCAGATCCTTTTTCTTTCTCTATTCCTTCTCTCTTACTTTTTCTTTCACAATCTCCTTTTCAAATTTAGATCTGCTCTCTTCCTTCTTCATTTTTTTTCTCTAGCAATCGACGAATAAAAATTGTAGCCACTCTCTTTCTTTGCATTTCTTCTCTTCATCAACTCGTTGGCCTCGATTCCGATCTTTCTCATTTTTTTGGTATTTTGGTGTTCTTGATTGAGGAAGAGGAAATGAGAGGCATCAGAAGACGATTTTTTCTCTCCCTCCTTCTGTTTTTTTTTTCTTTTAGATAATATATATTGATATTATGACTCTATACCATATGGTATTGGGTGGTAACGAAATATATATTGATGTTACCACACTATACCCTATGTTAATGTATGGTATTGCGTGGTAACGAAATATATATTGATATTACCACTCTATACCATATGGTATTGTGTGATATTACCATACTATACCATATGGTATTGTGTGGTAACGAAATATATATTGATATTACCACACTATACCATATGGTATTGGGTGGTAACGAAATATATATTGATATTACCACACTATACCATATGGTATTGCGTGGTAACGAAATATATATTGATATTACCACTCTATACCATATGGTATTGTGTGATATTACCACACTATACCATATGGTATTGAGTGGTAACGAAATATATATTGATATTACCACACTATACCCTATGGTATTGGGTGGTAACGAAATATATATTGATATTACCACACTATACCATATGGTATAGACTGGTAATAACTGGAAAAAAATTTTGTGTCAAAAAAATATCAAAGTGGATATCATTTTGAAGAGCATAATTAATCTGATCTAACTGTGCAAAAAAAATTAAATTTCGACTTAAAACGAGTGAGAAATCGTCCGTTAAAGATTAAGAGAAGGAAAATTAAAGATTTTTTGATGAGAGAGAAGGAGGTCCTGATGTGGTCGGTCAAAAGTCAGCGCGTCAGCAATAAAAATGGGATAAGTGCATTTTACCTTACTGCCCTTTAGCATTTAATTTAAATAAAAAAGTAACTGACACGTGGAGAGAGGAGAGAGGGGTTACTGATGGGTTACTCACCCATTAGTTACTCACCCGATCTGCTCCCCATTCAAGGAAGGTACAGGAAGCGGCGACGCGGTCAAGGTTGTGAAACCCATAAAACAAATAATTGCTCATAAGGGCAATAAGGTCATCTCACTTTATATCCTATAAATCTAATTAAACACAATCCATAATAAAATCCATGAAACAAACAATGGTTTTTTATAAGTCCATAATGAACCCAAAACCCTTATAAGTCTATGGTTTTGGAAAACCTTCTTTTTATCAAAACCTTCGTTTTTCAAATCCACGACGCAAACGACCCGTAAGTTGTCTCTAGTACAAGTAAAACTTCCACCCGTTGAACGGTTTGCCTACTTGAGGATGTGTTTTTAAGAGCACGGATAGAACTTCCGACCCCCCCTTAATTTCATTGACCCTCCACACGAGTTGAGGAAAAGGAGTTAAAAGAAGTACTCTAGGGAGCACCAGATGTACAGAAATTGCTCTTGCTTGACTAATAAGGGTCGATCGTGCAAAAGACTGCAATTGGAACTCCCACCAAGTGAATGAAAAAGAAAAAAAAGTAAAATGAAAGTGAAAAGGGGGTTCCAACGGTGAAATGAAGTGAAAGAGCACCCCGGTACAACGAGTCCTTGGTTGTGAATGGTGTGAGTCCCTTTATCCATGAACTGACTGTCTTACTTCTACTTCTTCTCATGATCCTGGCTTGAGTCTAGTACTCGCATTGAGAGAGATAAGGAATGTCTTAGAAGACCAGTTGACCTTGTAAGCTGCTATATGATCTAGGAAATCCTCTACTGACGATCGTGGTTGTATGTTGCTTAGAGGTCTGGAGAGCTGCATTGGTTTGAGTTAGGTTTGCTTGGGGACAAGCAAACGGTTAAGTGTGGGGGGATTTGATGACTCGATATTTGCACATGTTTTCCCCACTGTTTCTTGATCGTTTGAGCTTTAATTATCGCGTCTTTGGCCTATTTTATGCTAGGTTGTGTTCCTTTGTCACATTTCAGGTCCTAGCACATAAAGTGAAGCATAGGCGCAAGTTTCAAGTCAATCAGAGATCAATTGGAGATTAGGGAGAAGAAACTCGGGCATGACCTGAAGAAGAATGGATTTCTACCTCACTTTATGGACAAAGAATCATTCAAGCTTGTCATTAAAATAAATAGGACGATACTACGAGCGTCTGGGATCAAATGGCGACTGATTCGGAGTCCGGACGAGGGAGAAACGAAGCATTGAATATAGGGGAACATGTTCGGCGGTAAAAACACAGGCGCGCCTAAATTAAAACACGGCCGTGCCCATATTTAGGCACGACCGTGTTTTGGCCGACGCGCGCGGGCATGTTTTTAACACGGGGCAAAACACGGGCGGGAAAAAGCAAAACACGGCCGTGCCCTCGACCGTGTTTTGCCCAGAATCGGGTTTTTTAGGCAGATTGAAGCCAAAGGAAAGGGAGAGCTGGGGTTTGGATCCCAAACACCCAAGGGACGAACCAAAGAGAGAGAGGGCGATTTGAGGGCATTCTAAGAGTGGAATTGGAGGGTTTCTTCACTTTGGAAGCTCGAGGAACAAGCTCGGACTTGTAGACTGATCATCCGAAGATTCTTACTGCAGTCTCTCTCTTCTCTATGGAGTAACTTCCCTTCACTTAGGTTTTGAGAAACCCTAGCTATGTTTGTTTGATTGGATGATTGTATGAGTACTCTGACTTAATAACCTTGAGTTCATATTCAATCTATGCATGTTTTCATTATTCAATTCTGCTTTAGTCAAGATTATTGATTCTGCTTTAATCCTATGAGAGCGAATACCTGATTAGGTCAATAGAGCACCATAGATTGATAGTAGTGGATCGATTGCTTTAGTCGAGGGTTGATTCACTGCTTTGTATCGATTGAGAACCTCTTTCGATAGAGGGAGTCTAGTTCAGAACGCCTTGATCGGTTGTTCTAGAGAAGGATACGTCCCTCTAGGCAATTGACTCAAGAGGGCCTTGTTCCTTTAGTCGAGACTCAGGGTCTAGTCAAGGATTCTCCGCATTGTGAATGAAAGTGAAACAGGTTAGAGATCATCCATCATTAATCTGGCTAGTGGCTAGGGGGAATCATACCTAAGTGAGTTCCCAACCTGTAATTAGATTAACTTTAACTGTAGTTTGCTAGAGTAGTTTTAGTTCTTCCTTATTAATCTGGTTTGCTAAATAATGAACTGAAGCTGAGTAATAGTAACTCTAGAGACCCGTGGATTCGATATGTATTACTAGAGCCACTATACTGCAGTCCCTTCCATTGGTTACACTTGGCCATTGTTAAGAGTTGTGTCATAGCGAGTCATGGCCAGAGGCAGCAAAACGTGGTGGCTGCCTGGCTGGCAATTCTGTTCACCTACAAATTCAGCAACGACAATATACTGAGCACTCCCCATTTAAAACCATTCTAACTGGCAATAGTACTGCTTACTATTTCGCACATGCCTTCTTCAAGAGATGCAACAGCCTGTATGCATAAAGGTTGAGTACTTGACACACCATGATGAAATTCCATAATGGTCATATTAACAGAGGGCAGCAACAGTTATAGCATGCGAGAAGTCCACACAATAACCTTTAGAAACTGGACAGAAAATGAGATCCCAGTTGGGCAAAACCAAATAGAAGTCAGGACACATAACAAAATGCAGCAGCTTCCCAAAAACCAACGCCAAACCAACAGATGGTTTCATACACTATAATCATACTACAAATCAAGGGGTTCAAGCCAAAGCAAATATTCAGACAACAGATTCCTATTCATGTGGCATGGAATTATATATAAACATGATCAAGCCATCAATGAAAACAGCAAGAAAAAAACTCTAATTATCCTTCTGTTAGCCAATTCGCCAATTCGACATTCATATCAATTTTCTCAGGTAGTTTTGTGTTAGGCCAAAAAAATTGAACCTGGGATAGATTGGAACCAAACTTCCCATTACTATTAATGGTCAAAAGTTCAAGACACATCAATTACTATAAATGTATCCAATTACCAAGTGCATGGGGTAGATTGGACATATACATCTCAAGCGAGTGTGTTGTTGCTGTTATCTTGGAGCGGTGGCTACACAATCACCAACATTCAAGGCAACCATCGGAAAATTAGAAAGAGGGGCAGCCATCGCCAAATTAGAAAGAGGGTAACCTAATGAAGAGAACTTACAGAGGCAGGGTGATTCATTAATCTCTCGAACTGGTATGTGGAAAATTCGGTCGGCAGGGAGAGATGCAGCAGCAGTTTTCATCAGGCTCTGATTAAGGAAGGCATGATAAAACCAAAATCTCTGGAAACTTGGTGCGCAGACCACGCAAGAACGAAGCAGCAGAAGGAGCGGACGCGCAAATCCAGTTCCTCGAGAGAAGGAGAAACGTGTGATAAAAAAACCCAGCCTTTTGGGTTATCTCCTCTCTCTAGACCTCTTTGAATTTCGCTTCTAGGATCAAAAAATTTCGCTGGAATTTAGTTCCTCATGAGAACTCAGAATAACACAGCCGCCCTCTTCTCTATTGATTCTCTACCGTCTCTGAATGTGTTCTGCAACGCTACAAGGGTTGAGGAAAGTCGGCTTTGTCCAATCTTTTGGGCCATGGAAATCAAGTAAGCCCAGTGAAGGAAAAGGGCAAGGCAACCCGCTTTTTTCACTCTCAACCAAAATTTCCGCCTGCCAAATTTACCCTCCCGCAAAACCCTCTGAGCGTTGGAAATTTGAAATGGTGTTTGGGTTTTTGGCTACCAGCTTTTATAATAGGTGTAGATAATTGATATATTTTATATTTATTTTTTACTACTCACGTTCTTTCCAAATCCAACCACGTCTAACAGTACCAACTACATACCAACTAAATCTGGACCTTTAGACCTTTAGATCTGAGTGGGACCTTTAGATCTAAGGGTTGTATTAAATGCATTTTATTTTCCCCTAGTTTTCTTAATCGGCTCTTATCTTCTTCGTTCTAACTCGGATTTCAATTTTTTTTTGCATAGATGGAACGAGTTCGTTGTGCTCTACAAAATGAGATCAATTTTCAATATATTTCGAGAAACTTTTTTTTTACCAACTACATACCATATGGTAACTTCTTCGTTTTTAAGTCGTTTTTTTAAAACATTTTCTCAGAAGGAACGAGTTCGTCATGATCTATTGGATCTATAAATTTCTGGGTGAAAAAAATACTGGATAAAAAATTATCATACTTTACCACTATGGTATGTGGGTGATAACTTGTGGTAACTTGTAGTAAACAATGATGAAAGTCGTAAATGACAGTTAGTATACTCTTATTATCATGTATTCAACCTTCTTACCATATTGGTATGTTTATACCATCATGGTACGCTTTCTTACCATATGGTATTAAATAGGAGCATACCATATGGTAATGACTAGTAAAAAATTATTCAATTTTTTTGTACTAAAAATATATCAAAGTGAATATCATTTTAAAGAGCACATTTAATCTGATTTATCTGTCAAATTTGCCTCCAATATTAAAAAAATTATACAATACAAGCTGTTTTTAATGTTATTTAACATGTTACCGACTGTTTAATCTGACGATAACACTAAAACCAAATAAGGAATTTTATATGACACTCTTATGTGCCTCTAGTACTTAGACTATTAAAAAGACAGACGTCGTAGTTATGTATCTAGTGGCAAATAGAATAAAAGCCAAATTTAATATTTTCATTTTTTATATATATTATTAAGAAAATATTACGAAACAGAAGCATATAAAATAACATATAGAGGCAAGTAATGATTTTGTCACCAAAAGTTTAGCTTTAGAGGCTAATAAAATAATTGCCTCTAATATTTGTTGCTAAAACTAGTTTTTCTTGTAGTGGATATTGTTCGCTTTTCATCTAGATCTTTAGATTATGTTTCTAAAAAGAGGGGAAATAAATTTCTATGAAAAATGGGAGATATTTTTGCTCCATATGTACTATAAAATCATTCCCTCTAATTTTTGGATTGAAAGGGGAAATGCAAGTCTAAGTGATTTTTTCCCTTATATATTTTTCACCTCAAAAATTTCTTCACCTCAAACTTTTATTTCCCCTCCTCTCATGAACATATAGTGTTATGATTTTTACTTTAGAGTTTATAATAAGGTGAGTAGGTAACTTCTTATAAGATCACTCATTAATGAAGTGTTCCATAAATAAGCTTTTAATTTCAGAGTTCTTATAAGAACTTCCACTTCACCTAAAAAATATCTTGTCAATTATAGTCGATTTCTTACTTGTGAATTATGGAATTCTCACCATACTTTATCGGTGTGAGATTTGTCTAAAATATTACAATCATTTTGTATCTAAATAAAAATATTGATCGTTATGAAAATGATCATGATTGTATTTAGCTTTGAGAACGTTCAATAAAACTGGAACAATATTGGGAAGATTAACATGACCCCTTGCGCAAGCATTACACGCATAATGCCTCTGGCCACGCGAACCTATGAATCAAGAGACGGCCGTATCGTGTTGACCGTAAACGACGCCGTTGCTTCACGTCGCATAAACTCGCCTCGCGACGACCATAGCAACCTTCCCTCCCCTGCTTTGCATCCGCCGGTTTCTTCCCGACAACAACCCGAAAAAAAGATCTCCGTCCAATTTTACCATGGATTCCACCACCGCAACCCTTCTGCCACCGGAATCCAAAACCACCACCACCACACCGCCGAACCCCCCTAAACCAATCGCCTCAGCCAACGACCGAGATTTCCTAAACCACCTGGAAGCCTACCTCTCCAAACGCGACGGCGTCGACAAGCTCCTCAAGATCTCGCGATACGCCGCCAAGATCGTCCTCTCCTCCTCGATCCTCCCCGAAACCCTAATTCTCACCACCCGCCTCAAGAGCTTCGAGTCCAGCGTCGGCCTCAGCCGAAAGGCATTCCGCCTGGGGAAATTCGTCCAGGACGTCAACGCCCTCCGCTCCTCCTCCCACTTCGGCTCCCAACAAGAATTGGTCCTCTCCATCCTCGCCTACGGCGGCGAAGGGATCTACTACTTCGTCGAGCAGTTCGTCTGGCTGTCGAAATCGGGTCTGATCGACGCCCGCCATGCCAAGAGGTTGGGGAAAATCAGCGCCTGGGCGGAATTCGCCGGGTACGTCGGGAGCATCTCATTGAAATTTAGGGATTTGAACGAATTGAGCGGGGAGATGGCCGCGGTGTCGTCGATGGTCGAGATCGCGGATTCCAGAGGGGAGGAAGAAGAGAGGATGAAGAAATTGAAAGCGAAGATGGTGTTGAAGAGGCTCTCGATCGTTCAGGATTTCGCCGATGGGTTTATGGCGTTGGCTGATATTAGGGACGGGAAAGGGAAGCTGTCTTCGCCGTTGTTTTTGTCTTGCGCGGGGCTTTTGTCAGCCATTATTAGTACCCAGAAGAACTGGGCTTCCTGCTGAGCTTGGGAATCACCAGGTAAAAGTAACACAAACAACCCTTGTATTCTGAGGAAATATATAGTCTATACACTTCCGACACACATTAGCTTGACTAACAATAATGGATTCTTATGAGGAACTGAAACAACTGTTCAATGTTTTTTTTTTTCTTCTTTTTCTGAGACGATACTTCACTTGGTTTGCATAATAAAAGTTACAGAATTGGCATCCGGTTAGTGATTAGCTCTGAATGTTCCTGTAGTTGGGATGAATCCTGAATCTGGGTCTCAGCTCGATTGTGAATGTTACTAGCAACTATGGATTGATTCTAGGCAGAGTTCATCTCTGTGAGCTCTGTATTCGAGTTAGAAATTAAGAACTAGGATGTATCTTAACATATTGCAGAGCGAAGTATGCTGGCAATTTGCTTGCGGCTTTTGAGTAGCTCATGGGTTCTATCTGCGGAGTTCTTCTCATCTCGAAGTTTGAATCTGCAGAATTGGTGTTGTTTGGTTTTGCTAGTATGCTTCTCTTCTTGGGAGCTTCACTGCAGAAAGCTTCGATCAGTTTCTGCAGATGAGCTGTTGGAGTTCCTTGTTAGAACTCCTCTGTTAGCCACAAGATGCAATGATGGGTGTGAGTGACGAGTTCTGATATTTGGGAGAGTCTTGCTACCACTTTTGCTTTGCTTAGGGTCACTGTAAGTCTGTAACGTTGATCCAATTCATTAGGAAACGAGTATGAAAGTAGTAGGTATGTTCACTTTCAGTTCCTTTCTGTTCTGGAAATATGGTTAACAAATAAGGGTATGGTCTAGTGATAATATTTACTAACCTTGAGCTTGAAATTCATGTTCGGTAACTTGAGAACAATGATTCGTTACGTTTAAAATTGGTTTCTTATTGTCACAACTATGTGGAACAGCGTTGGAGCTTGGGACCATAGACCTTAATGGGCTCGCTGCTGCATTTGGCAGTACTGGGCCGATAGTAGTTACAACCTTTCACGGGCTGAGGGCGACATGAGAGGCGGCAATGTGGGCCGTGCGAATCAATTCTGAATGATGTTGGATTCTGAATTGACAACTAATGAACCTGGGACCGTGATTAATTTAACTCTCTAGATTAATACGGAACTTCATCTACACTCACACTGTCTTTTTCTTAAACAGATTATTATATGTTAACCCAGCATCTAATCGCGGATCATGCTTTTTTGTTTTGTTAATTATTAGTATTACACACGGCCATTAGGTTAGTTGATCGTTTACCTTCCAAGCCTAATCATCCGTCAAACCAATCCAACGGCTGGCAGCGAGCAATCTAGATCCCATCCCCGTCACTTAACGGCGACGTGACGCTGACAGCTAGTAGCCAAATTGGTTTTTGGTGGGAGTTCCCGTACGGAATTATCTCCGCGTCCGCGATAGAGACAGAAGGATAGGAGAGTCGTCTCAGCGCCCATCATCTTCTTCCCTCCCAATCACCATTCATCGCCATGTCGCTCCTTCTTCCTCCCATAGATCTACGCCGGCGCCGACGACATGATCCTCTCCCCTCCCTACACCGTCAATTCTAACTTCGTCCAATTCCTCCGACCATCACTCTCCCTCCGCCTTCTCAATTAGAAAAACGATAATAATTGATGGAGACTGAGCTTCACGATGTTAAGCCAGTGCCTCCGAAGGGCCACGTCATCTCCGATTCTCCCTCACCGGCTTCCCCCGTCGACGACGCCTCACAGAACGACGACCGGCCGCTTCTCAAATCCGACTCCTCCTCCTCCGCCGCCAACGGACGTGTCTCCGACGAGAGCCTGGAGGAGCTGAACAAGAAGTACGCCGCGTTCGCTCGCCACGACGTCTACGGTCCGCTCGGCCGCGGGGAGCTTCCGTTCGTGGAGAAGCTCCTGCTGGGCGTCGCCTGCGTCACTATCCTCCCGGTGCGCGTCGTGCTGGCCACCCTCGTCTTGTTCTCATACTACTCGGTGTGCAGGATTTGCACGCTCTTCTCCGCGCCCAATCGGGACGAGGCGGCGGAGGGGCAGGACGACTTCGGTCACTTGAGAGGGTGGCGGAGGACTGTTATTGTCTCCTGCGGCAGGTTTCTCTCCAGGGTCATGCTGTTTGTGTTTGGGTTTTATTGGATCAGTGAGAGTTTTAGGGATTTAGAGCAAGAGCAATATCCGCCTCAAGGCAAGTCATCCTCAGAGGTAATGGACCAGTTCTCCAGTATATGACGCATACTTGATACCTGCAAATTCTTCTTATTTGTGTTGGTGTTCTTTTGCTGCCATTGTTGGTAAGCTGGGACTGCTCTATCAGTACTTTGCTTCGTGCTTTTTTGGAGTAATTGGTGACCTGGGATTTAGTGTCTTGCTGCTGCTTATTGGTTGCAAGAATGCCACCAGTCCACTGCGTACAAAATTTGCCAAAAGGAGGAATAGAGAAAGTAGGAGATGAATGGCTATTTATTCCCAGCTGAATTTGTCTATGGTGTTCTTTTGTTGACTTTCCAGTCTCGTAGTGAGATGGAAACTGTCTCTCTCTGGCCACCTTTCTGAAATGAGACTTGGGATTCTGTCAATGACCCAGCTTCTGAAGTCATTGATACTTGCTTTATGCTTCAGCTTGTTGCTTTATTCACTCAGGCTCTCCCTTTCAAAGGGGTAGTCTACCTAGAATTTTCAGTTTCAAAGAGAGCAATATCTTACTTTGCTTTATTCTCCCCCTGCTCTTGACTATTGGATCAGAACGAGGGCAAAAATCAATTGCAGCGACCCGAAAGACCAGGGGCGACAGTATGCAACCATGTATCGTATGTTGATATTCTGTATCACATGTCGTCATCTTTTTCCAGCTTTGTTGCGAAGGTATGCTCAAGCATGCCATCTTTTATTCTTATGATGATGGTAATCGTTTATATGCAAGAGTTCAAGATGCAAACTACCTTGTGTGCAACTTTTTGCTGCTATTACTGATTGATCCTTTCATTTTATGCGGTTCAATGACCCATGCTTCTGGTGCCCAAGAGATCAGTGGCTAAACTTCCTTTAGTTGGTCTCATCAGGTTATTTCACTTTATTTATCATAAAATTTCTCTTTTGTGTTCAACTGTCATACGAGATATATGATAAATTATCTTGTCTGAATCTGAAATGTAATTTCGGCTCTTGTGTTTTGTAATCCAACAGCAAGTGCCTTGGATGCGTCTTTGTCCAACGAGAGTCGAAGTCATCCGACTTTAAAGGAGTTGCAGGTATGCACTGTGTAGGACAGTCTATTCTTGTCTTATGTGACTCATGAAACTTGAAAGAAGTCCTTAAAGTGGATACTTATGGCAAGTTAAGTCTTTTACACTGGGTCTAAAGTAGGCCAATTTAACTTTGAAATGACTTGTTGGATGTCAAAACAAACATAAGTGTGGTCCACCAATCACCAAAGCTACATATTTGTGCTTCAATAATGTATGAGTGAGTAGATAGTTATGTTAGTTTGTAGCTGTGGCCAGAACCATATATTGTTTCTTGGACGGATTTTACATCCTTAAAATCTTTGCAGGTATTGTGATTGAGAGAGTTAAAGAAGCTCATGAGGACGAAACTGCTCCGATGATGATGCTGTTTCCTGGTTAGTGCCATCTAAATCCATTACGCCTAATTTGTATATAGCAGCTCATACTATTTGTAGTTTAGTCTTGGAATATTACTTTCATTTTTGCCAATATTATTTGGTTATGATGTTGTAAGAGGGAATCTGTTTACACCAATGGAAGTAGGTATAAATCAGTTTTCCAGAGATCCTGTTGTCGCAACTACGTATAGATTAAGCTCTTTTGAAGCTATCACAAGCATTCCAAACCTTGTATGAGTTCGCCTGGCAAAAGGGCACCTTATTATACAATGCTGTGCAGTTCTTCCGAGTTATTTCAAGAGAATGTAGAAACGGCTAGTTCATGTATATATAAATTCACAAGAAAATCACCAAGGAGATTCTTCTTTTTACTGGTTAAGCACGTTGTTCTGGAAGCTCCGTTGTGACTTCTTAGCATTAAAATGTATTTTCCTGCTTTCCCTGTCTGTATCCTTCACGCATAGATATGCAGTAAGATTGATAACACCATTAGATCAGCAGGCTCACTAATGAATTTTTATTTTCTGCAACGTTTTAACAGAAGGCACGACTACAAATGGGGACTTCCTCCTCCCATTTAAGACAGGTGGATTCTTAGCTGGAGCACCTGTGATTCCAGTGATTCTGCGGTATCCATATCAGAGGTTTAGTCCTGCCTGGGATTCAATAGCGGGGGTGAGTTTTCAACCCCTGTTTGAATATATATGTAAACGAACTTTGCGCTACATGCTATGTGATTGTCTGGAAAGTAGTTTTGACTTTTGACATGTTTCCCACTGCAGTTCCGTCATGTAATTCTTCTGCTGTGTCAATTTGTAAATCACTTGGAGGTGATAAGGCTACCTGTTTACTACCCTTCCCAAGAAGAGAAGACTGACCCTAAACTATACGCTAATAACATCCGGCGTTTGATGGCACGCGAGGTACATGCTTATATTTTAGCTACGTTGCTGTTTATGTAGTAGTCTCGTTTCTTAATCCGTACTTGCATAAATAATAATCGGTTTCCTGACCCTGGTTTTTCTGGTTTTGGTTGTTGTGGTTGCAGGGTGATCTAGTAATGTCAGATATTGGACTAGCCGAGAAGAGAATATACATCGCCGCACTCAATGGTAATAATAGCCTGCCTAGTGTTTTGCATCACAAAGACGATTGATAAATTTCATCCTGGCCTGGCTTGCCGAATGATAACAACAATTCTCTATTGAGCTTCTTATGATTTAACATTGTTGGCAATTCAGTTTCCCAGAAAGTGGGAGAAAGAGGGAACTGTACGATGTATCGGTCGAAAATACTTTTATGTTTCTGTAACCCCGTTATAGATTAGAAACACAGTTTGGTCTGTTGTTGTGTTGTAGTAATTTTCTCTTTTTTCATGTTCCTTTGCAGGTTTGTTATCACAGTGCTAACTCTGGGGTTTTGCCGTCTTGTCTTTGTATAGTTTTGTGTTGGCCCATGTGTATCATTCATTTATTAAGAACAGAAAGGAAACCCCTTAAAAGAAAGCGAAAGAGGAGAAGAAATGATAGCAAAAAATAGGGAGAAATGGATGTGCAGAACTAAACAAAGATGTAATCATTAGCCGGCCCGCCGCCTTCTGATCTGATCTTCGTAGTTCTTATTTCTATCTGGAAAGAGCATGAGCATACTTGCCTTAGCAGTTATCTACAGCTTAAGATCTTGAATCCCTGCCCCGTTTGTGGCTTTTCGAAGTCATTCGACTCTATTTCATGTCACGGACAAGTGTTCTTCAGCAAAGCTAACAAAGCCATCATACGAGGACAGGATCATTTGAAGAGCTATGTATGTTAACTAGAGAAAATGCAATGTTAAGACTCATTCGGTCAAGAGTGAAAAGATGTAGATCATGCAGTTTGCGGACATTATCTCTTCCATGAGTAGCTTTAAGCTCGCTTCGCAGCAAGTGACTCTTACCACTGTACTCCGGTTTTGCCAGCTTTGATCGTAGCAGCAGTGATGGGTTTATGTCTCATCTTCGTGACGATGAGTTCTTCACCTTGCCGCAGGCTTTGTTACTTCATGCAAACATAACATAATGATCAAAATCAGGAGCCATTCATCATTCAGAAAGAAACATTTGGAAAGAATATGCCCCCAAGTCAAACCAGGCGCCAGCCAGCCATGAGTTCTTTTCTACAGAGTTCTCTGTACAAAGCTGAATCATTCATATATATATATATTAAAACCAGCCAGCCAGCCTTCACAAACTGGGTTCCATATGAACTTCGCAGTTAAACAAAAATTTGCTGGTATTTGCTAGACACGCAAATTAATCAGATAGCTCAACCAAAAATACTCAATTTATACCGAGCCAAATCCTAATCAGGGGGGAATCAATGCCCCATCACGCCCTAATTCTCCACCATTACCACCTTCAATGGAGGTTTTCCAACCAAGCAGTGAAGGAAACCCCTCGTTTCATCATCACATCGGTTAAAGCTAGCTCTCATATCACCTCTCCTTCAATGAAGTGCTGACGGACCTCTTGAACTCCCACGGCAGGCAGCCTCTCAGCGGTGACTGGAGAATCAACGACGAATTCGACAGCTGCCTCTGCCGCATAGAGATGGAAGACAAGCAACTAAATGCACTTCTCAGCCTCCTCTTCTCGCTGTCGCATGGTAGTTCGCCATTCGGGTCATGGGTCACTGCTTCGATCTTCAGTGACTCAGGAAGCACGCAGTTGCAGACAGAACCTGGAAATGGAGCCCCAAGAAGAAGCAAATCAACACATTGTTCCACTGATTGTATACTGAAAATGGTAACTGAAGGTTTGTCTTTTGTCTAACTAGAATTACCTATTTGTGCCAGCCGGTTGACCCATTTCGGGATAGGCCTACCGGTGAGCTTGTAACAAACATCCTTGCAGAAATGATTGCAGTTCTTGACAATCAAGTGGTAGGTATCCCCATGGTAGCCCGCCGCGTGCTGTTCCATGAACTCTCGAACCTGCATTGGGTCTAAAGAAGTTGTCCCCACGAATATCGACCTCCTGAACTTGAACCCTGGACACTGCCTTGGCTCCACCTCGAACACTCCACTCGTCGGATAGTCGTGAGCTCCAAATGCATACTCCACCCCATGCACTGCACAAACACATAATTTGCGGATATGTTAGAACACTTCCATGCCAACAAGGATCAAGAAAGGAATGTGTAGAAGTGGCGCTTCTACTTGGCCTTACCTTCAACACCAGAGTGGAAGATGCCGAGACCAGCCCAATAGACGTAGCCATTCATCGGCGTCAAGTCGTATACATTGAGATAGACCGGTGATTTGCCCTGACCGTAGCTAGTCGCTGTTCTAGGCTTAGGAAACAAGCAGAAACGTGTGGCTGATTTACTTCTCAGCCGGATGGGCATCATCGCTTTCCATCCTCCTTTCTTCGACCCGAGTTTCATCTTCTTTAAGGATAATTCAAACATCGAACTAATAGCTGGATTGCAATCTGCATAAACATACATCAAGAACATACAATGAGCCTAAAAATATGGCTCGAATTCTAGGACTCGCGCATCAATTCCACAAATGGATCACTTGTCAGCACGTTAGGAATTAACAAAGAAGCTGTCCAGCGCCGGCCAGTTCATGGTGTGAAGGGGAAGACTATATATTCTAAGCATAAGACAGTTGACATTTAGCTGGAAGTGAAGGAGAAGGTGACAGATAAGAGTCAACTAAGGCACTCTATAAAACAAATGCCAATTCTTCTTCCAACCTTCCAATGCCAAAATGTTGAGAGATGAAAACTAAAATGAAACAATTTCTTGGTGCTAATAATTTAAATATAAGTTGCCTCTCCTGAATCATAATCATATAACTCTGAAACAAGTAATTTCATCAGCTATAGATATAGACAATAGATTCAGCTTGGATTTGGAGCTCAAACGGAAAGACAGGACAAGAAGATGACAGATTTAGATCTTCAATTCAAATGGGAGTGAAAGAAAAAAAAAAGAAGGAAAACCCAGATCTAAAAGCTTGAGACTTTCCTTGGCCGGAAACGAAACAATGCAGCAGTAGAAACAAACAGAATCCCACCCCTCCAAAAAAGGGAAACGGATCCATTCTTTCTGGTAGATGGGTGATTGGATTCGCAGAATTGCAAGAAAAACCCACCAAAGAATTTCCATCACTTTCGTCTCTCCGGCGGGAATTTTTCCAGGAAACAAACTGAGGTGAAAAGAACAGCAATGCACATGAAACCGAGAGAGAAAGGAAGGAAACAGTGAAGGAACCAGAAGAATAGAGCAGAATTGGAATCACTGTAAGAAGACAAATCGGAAGAAAGAACAGAACTGAACTTACTACATAGTCAATAGAAAAGAGAGCAGGAGAAGGAAGAAGAAGAGCAGCAGCTGCAGCAGCAATTGTCGCCCATGGCCATGGCGGAAAGAAGGGAGGAGAACCCACAACTGCTTTTCTTCACAGTTGATTTACCATCATCCTTACTTCCTCCTCACCTGAATAAAACAAAAGAAGCAATTCCCTCCTCCACTATGCTGAATCCAATACTGCCATTATTGCTCTCCTCTCAAAAGAGAGAAATAATGAAAGAGAGAGACAAATGAAAAACTCGAAGGGGTATGTGAAGCTCAAGCTAGCTAGCATCCCCCCCAAGTAATAAAAAAAATATATGTTTTCAAAATAGAAAATTATAAATTCAATTCCTATTTCTTTGTCTGTTTACTGTACATTTATTTTACCCTTTCTTTGTGAAACCGAGGGTACTCTGCCGACTGCCATTCTCTTTCTCTCCCTCCACTGTCAATATCTTTCTTACTCAGACAAATTTCACAAATGGAGTAAAAGCAAAAGGAGGGAAGAAAAGGCAGTCTTCGAAGACCGACGGGAGGGAAGAAGAAGAAGAAGATGCAAATGGCAATGGGGACAGTTAGTATTGCTCGGACCAAAGCATGGGACCCGATCCCTCCATCTTAAAGCCATGCCATTTCTTTCGCTTGCTCTGTCCCAATTTCACTTTCCTCTGCAATATTCTTGTCCCAACTCATTTGCGTCCATACACGACACCCTATTCTTTACCTAAAAAGCCAAAAAGTTCATAGAACTCATTAGCACGACAAGGTAAACAAACAAATGTGTGGAAGCAAAAAATTGATTTTAATAAATTTATTGAATGATTTCATATGTGAAATGGTAGTTAGTATGAGTTATTGACATTAAACGGTTCGTTAAGATCGTAATTCATGTCAGAAATTGGCGAAGCAAAAGCTCTCTTTTGAAGGTAACAGATGATGAGGATTCATGGGCTTCGACCGATGGTGGTAGAATTGGATTTTCAATCTCTGATTCATAAGCCGAATCTAGAAGAAAATACGAGGCTAGAAGTGGGGTGATCTTGTTGATCCGGGCCGTGTATAAAATACGGTTCGTCATATTAACAGTTGATTCCAATATATAATATAACGGAGTTGTGCTAACTTTCTTTGGAACATTTCTGACCAAACTGATATGTGTCTCACTCTCACCAATATTTGTATGATGATGGGTTTCCGAAGATTCAATTGATTGGGAACAGTAAATCATAATTGATTTAGCATTAGAAAATGATAAGTCTCAAAATCCATCATGATCTTCAACGAATTTCAAATTTTTACCATATGATTAGCGATTAAGTACGTTCCATGATGAGTAATGAAGAATGATTCATCTGTTCGTGAATTATCAAAAAGAGTACGTTTGCAACATTAATTGTCTCCCACATATGTGACATGTGAATAGTAATTTCATTCAAATATGACTAATTTCTTAAGACTCCAAACTGAATAGACTGTTATTTTAAACAGGGATAACAACCAATCGGGTCAGAGTCAGATAGTGCATATTCATTATTCGTCTGATTATAATTCGAGCTTTTCTTATTCCCATATTGTTAGAAATATGCTTTGGGTTAGGGTTTAGTATTATGTATTATTGTTAATACTTAATTGGGAATTGGATCGAATATTAGTAGTGGGTGTGGTTGTCGGCTAGGTTTGGCTAATTTGGTCTAGGTTTGATTACTAGGTTTTTCCGGTCTATTTCCTATATATTGGATATTCCATGAGCATTAATCAGAAAAGTATTAGCAAAGAATCTCTCTCAAAACTCTAATCTCTCTACTCTCGAATTCGTCACCTATCTCTAATGGTCGGAGGCCATTCTTCTCCTCGATCCCCAATTTCTTCTTCTAAATCCCTAAATCCCCAATTGTATTCTTCCCAAATTTCCAATTCTCAATTTTATTTGAAACCCTAAAGAATCGTAGTTCTAACACATATCTACACAAGAATCATGTATGATATTGAAACCATATATATACCCGATTGAGTTTAAAGTATTCACGGTTAACCATGTATAATAATTTCTCTTCATAACTTCAACCAACAAGGACTTAGTATAGTGGCAATACCACTAGCTTTGAATATGGAAATCTCATGGTCAAGTCCCTTAAGTAGTATCTAACAACAACAAAAATCCCTATCGTTCCTGTTTTTCTTTGGGAATTGTGGCTTTACGGTGGTGTTATTGATGACTTTAGAATTCTTTTAAAAATAATATAAACATAGAATTATTGTAATTTGTATTTCTGTCGAATCATAATAGGGGTGGTTATACGGTCCGGTCCGGTTAAATTGGCCCGAATTGATCCGATCCCAGTCCGGTCTTTTCGAGAATATAAGGACCAAAGATTGGATTGGATCCGGTCCGGTCCCAATTTGGTCTTGGTTTTAGATTGAGCTTGTGGGGATTTGAGTGGCCTGAGGGGGGATTTGAGTGGCCTAAGGCCTAAAAGGGTGAGGAGGTTAAATTTTGGGTGTTGGACTCTCTTATCCGGTCTTTATCCGATTTTCGGTCCGGTCCCAAACGATTTTTTACCTAAAATCTAGGCCCGAAAATTGAATTAAATTGTTTACTATCTGATCCCGATCCGGTCTCGATTTGGGTTATACGGTTCGATTTCGGGTAAAAGAAAAAGACTGAACCAAATAGCGAGGCCTAAATCATATCTTTTGCTCCATAATCCAACGCATTATTAAGAACTCTGTGTCTGAACTCCGATAAGACAAAAAAAATGGGTATTGGGAAGGCTTATTGAGAATTATTTTGCTTTCCCTTAATTCCAACGCATAACTTTCTTAATTGAGAATTATTTTGCTGACTGAAGTCGTTCCATGCTTTTGCTTTCCCTTGATTCCATTTCGGCTCGAACCACTACCCGCCAGAAAGAAGGTAACATCGTTGAACTCCCACCACCTCGGAAAAGCGGATCGATTAAGAAATTAAAGGGAGAAAAAGATAGATTAGCAAGATGTCATTTTCTCGTTCGCCATGAAAGGCACCAACTCATGAGTTGATGTTGTTTCCCTTTGGATGGAACGATGTTTGGTTGCAAGTAATCAATCAGTAGACCAACTATCCCCTCTGAATAATCTATGTTTTCGATAAGCTATGTGTCCACGACTAAACGCAAAAAAGATTCAATATAATCATACAGATAATCATGTCACAAGAATCAGTTGCTCAATATAATACAGAGATGGATTAAAGACATAGTACAGTATTGAGACACATTTGAATAAAAATTAGATACCAACTAGTAGTGGGTCGATAGAGACAGAGAGGGTTGGAAGCAAGCATGTCTCGTCTGCTATACTAGCTTTGGACTCAGAGGAGGGATGCACCGTGGCCCAAGGAGGCCTCCCATGTTATCTGCCACTGGTCCGTAATTCAATTGCTAGGAGATGTTTAATTATGGATCATATAAATACCACATAATAACACACATTCTCAAACGAAAGTCACCATGTATATGGGTTTGGAGTTTGTACAAGTCTGAATAACATATGCTTACCAGGACAGACGAGTGTCATCGAGATTTGAACAAAAGGCATCTCGGTTATAGAAGGCTCTGATACCATGTCAAGAACTAGTTGGTCACAATAAGTCGAATTGTTTGAAGAAATTCAATTATTTGAATTTTGTTATCCTGTTTTTTTCTTCTTCTAATAAATTATTGGATTATGATAAATTCAGTTAGCCAATATTTGAATTTAGTTATCCTCCTCACAACCCATCGTTGAATCAGCCAGGGTTATGAGAAGGACAAGCAGATTGTGACCCTGTTTTTTTTCTATGGTAACATATCAATTTACTGATAGACAATTGTGGCGGATTGAATCTCAAAGACATGTAGTAATTACTATGAGTTAATGAATGTTGATTAGATTCAACGAAAAAAAATCACGTCCAACAACACTATGTTGTGGTGTTAATAAAAGGATAGAACCTAATAGTTAGGTAATGACGTTGTTGGATATGGTACTAAACTATTTCAATTATTAGTTTACACTAAAAATGTTATATTTAAGGAAATGTCACTAAATACATACATTTTACAACTACGAAAAAGTCTGAAAATATGATTCAACAACATCAGGGAGGTAGGTCAAATTAGCAAAGAGTACTAAAAGACGATACCTGCCTGGGATTGCCTTCATGACATCAGCAGTTACGTTACGTGGGCACTCCCAACAACCAGTTATCAAAACTCAAAAGCCATTCACGAACATCTTGCCGTTTCCAACAGTAAGTTGTACCGTACCGTTCAAGATTAGCCTACCTTTTACAGCACGCAACCTCCAAACTTATTGGAAAAGAAAACCAGTTCAATAAGGAAAACCATTTATGGAAACCTTGGTTTTCTTCTTCTCCATCTTTTTCCCATTCCTTTCCCTGATTTTAATGTTTTGACTTTTGAATAAAAAATCATAATATACACCGTGGTATTTAGAAAATAACACACCTCCTCAATTACCATATTTCTTTTTCCAACCGAACATAGTATATGGACCCAACTCTTTACATTCTATAAGAATTTACCCCAAATACCACTCAAATACACACTCCACAGTGCTTTCCAAGACATCCGATAAAATTGGAACGATACGTAAAAAAAAAATTAATATGACTTCTATTCTATACAAGGATGACACGCATAAATACGCATTCCAGAGAACCCTTCTCAATGTAAAGCCAATGATATTATCGTAGCTGCAATGTGGTAACAAGGGAAGTGAAGAAATGAACATGGGCTTGTCAATTGATTTCCACATATCTCTGCCTCCTCAATTATTTGTTTGTCGACTATTACCTCCACAGTCTCTCATCTTGGTCGTAGTCTACCCTCTACAGTTTTCTTTAGGATGGCTATCGATCCCTACAGTCTACACAGTCCTCCCAATATTATTCAAACTTCATTCCTAATCTTGACTTCTAAGTTAGAAAAAAATGAGCTGTTTTAATTGTTTTTCTACACATGTGTGAAAAAATGAGCTCTGTGCTCATTGTTCATATTCAACTTGGAGGTTATATAGGTACAAATTTTATAAGTGGCACCTAACAAAAGAATTTAATAAAAGAGTGAAACTGAAAGTTCCTCTTCTCCATCATGATGGTTCAAAGTAGTTTGCATAATTGAAAGTTGGAGTCGTGAAATTTAATTGATATAAAATATGATTTCGAAAAAAATCAAAAGAAGAGTAATACAAGTAGATATTGATGAAAATTATGATAGAACGAATCAAGAATGAAATAGAACAAGGTGGAACATGTTAGAAGTAGTACCATGTCCGACCCCACGCAACTACGGGGAAAAAATACCCGCTCCAAACAAGTCAAATCACACATATCAGATGAGGAACTGTCGTAGCTACTTTTCTCATACCAATCAGTTATCAGTCTATTCCATAAGGGTAATGTCTATTTTTATCCAAACATTTTTTGGATTTTTTTTATTAGCCAAACGTATTGAAATATAAAGAATTAACCAAATGTTAACTTTCAGCTAGCAATTTTGTTAGTAATTGTTTGTGCCACGTAACCTGCGCCCCACGAGGATTCTCCCTTACTTCTCGACTCCCACCCGATCTCGCTAGGGTAACCTGCTCCTGTACGCACAGCCGCCCTCTGAGCCCCTTTGTAAAGGGCTCGTTAGCACTCCGACGCCCAAGTCAGTAGGACCTTTCTAGAGAGAGAAGTGAAATACGAGTGTAGAGAGAGGATCCAACCTGAGTAAATGAGCTCCACCCACTTCACTATTTATACTCTCAGCGGGGTCGACCAGTGCCCCTCAAATCCGCCCTGCGTCATCATCCTATTTAACGCACTGTACTTTGTCCCAGCCATGCGCCCCAACATTCTGACACATAGCCTTGGCGCTGAGGCGCATGGGCCCACTTTCTGTTCCCTCCGTACCTACTCGGCCGTTGCCCCCCTTTTGTCGTCATGCGCCTTTCGTCAGACCTGGGTCCCACGCCTCGGTCCGCGCCTCAGGGCCCCCTTTG